GATAGCAGCTAGTATCTCTCTGCCTCTGACTCTCCTGCTTCCTTCTTGTCGTTACAATGGGCTCAGGACAATCATCCAGGATAATCTCCCTAACTCAAGATTTTTAATTTAACACTTTTACAAAGTCCACATAAGATGATATTTTTGGAGTTAAGATATGAACATCTTGGGGCCAACAGGTGGTAGAGTGGTTAAGGCACTGGGTTCCCACACGGCTGACCATTGTTTGCATCCTGGATTGGGTGGCTTGAAAATCATGACAAATACATACATTCATAAATAAATGTTTGGAAAAAGAAAGGATATGGACATCTTTGGAAAGCCATAATTCTCTCCATCTCCCGTGAGGAATACTACTGCAACAGTCTAGGCAAGAGATGATAGTGACACCAACCAGAGTGACAGTAGTGAAGATAGTGAGAAATGGTGGTATCTTGGATATATTTGAGAGTCGAACCTACAGAATATTCCAAACGATTGGATGTAGACCTTTCATTTCTTGTTGAGGGAGACTTCTAGTCTACCTATGCCTTGGACAAGAAAGTGGGTTTCTCTGGAAAAAGGTCCGGAAAGTGACAAGTCTTTTACTGGAGTCTGTGTGACTCTTCAGGGCACTGTGTCTGCTTGTGCTCAAATGAGTGGGTGTGGAGTGGGCCCTGTAACCTCCCACGACCTCAAGTACAGGGCCCCCTTCAGTCCATATTCTCCTCCCCACTGCCGACTCACTCCTCTCAGGTTCTGCTGGACTAGATCCATCCTACCCCCATTGCTAACCTTGCCCTATTCCCTAGGGAGGTCACACTCGCTCCCAGGCTCACCATGCTTCATTTACTTGTGTGTGTGTGTGTGTGTGTGTGTATGTCCATCCATGTAAACAGAGGTGGAATAGCATAGTAGCAAAGCTGTTTACCTTTATAGGAAGAATCCCAGCTCTGCCTCCTACAAGCTGTGTGACCTTGGGCAAACTGTTTAACCTCCCTGTTTCTCTAGTACTTAATGTTTAAAATGAGGACAACAATAATCCACCTTGTGCAGTTCTTGTGCGGGCTAAATGAGATAATGCATATAAAATGCTCAGCTCAGTGTCTGGCTTAGCAGCAAGTGCTAAATAAAGACTTTTTTTGGGACCAGGAAGTGGTGTAATGTTTAAGGTGTTGGACACCCACGTGGCTGACCATGGTTCAAGTCCTGGACTGGTGGCTTGAAACTCATGTCATGTGTGCCCAAAATCCCAAGAGGAGAATGGAGGAAAAGGGATTGCAGTGTGGCCATCTCTCCAGGGGGTGATTTCTTGCTCTCTCTCTCTCTCTGTCTCTGTGTCTCCAGCAAGCACACATGCTCTATAACAGAACTCATTCAAAAAAAAAAAAAAAAGATTTTCTGTTAATTTTTTCAAAGTTGAAGTTCCAGCCACAAGAATTAATAACAGCATGGATCATGAGCAAGTTTTTCATCCTTTCTAGGCTTCTCTTTCTTGCCTCCCAGGGCTGTAGTTGGAAGATTAAATGAAATTAGAAAAAATTATTATAGGGCACACATGTGCTCATCAGAGAGCCAGAGAGAAAGTGAGAAAGCACCCCAAGGGGTGATGGCCATATGAAATCCTTTCTCCTCCATTCTCTTCTTGAGAGCATGCACTCACATTTGCCCAGAGTGTTTTTCAGGCAACTGGGTTCAGAATTTGGACCACGCAGTTGGCTATGTGGGACTCAGCTGCCTTAAGCACTTAAGCACCATGTCATTGGCTGGTCTCACTCAGTTTTTAATAAGTCACTAGTTGGTCAAGGTTTGCAAAGGTTATGCATTTGCCCAAGAGACCTAAAAAATGAAGGCCAAAGGGACCAGCATTTAGCGTAATGGCTATGTCGCTGAACTCCCATCGTGGTTCAAGTCCTGGACCCGGTGATTTAAACTCACACTGGGTGCGTGGGAGGAGAATGGAGGAGAAGGGATTGCGGTGTGGCCATCCCCCCTGGGGAATGATTTCTCGCTTTCTATCTCTCTGTCTGTCTCTGTCTTTCTGACGAGTCCATGCACTCTGTAGCAAAAATGAAGGCCAAAATAGTCCGGAGCTCTCTAGTATGGAGCCAGTAGACCTTGTGAATCTTTACCATGGTAGATGAGTCCTCAGCCAGGATGGGTTTGGCTTGTGTGTCACCATTTCCCATCCCACACCCTAGGCAGCCTCACAAATTGATCATGGCACCTTTTTTTTTTTCTTTCTTACAAGGAGTATTGACAAAGCCTCAGAATTTTTCTCAACCCTGCACTCCAGGTGGCCAACTCCAATTACTCAAGATTAAATCTGAATTTTCTGCTGCCATATTCCCAAGACGTTTTTCTGGGCTTGCTGTCATCCTCAGTTTACCCCACAGCAGAATGAGTCTGGTGGTGGCATCTGCCTGTTTATATATTCTTTGGACAATGGTTCGACCTCAGTCAGTGTTTTGCTACCTGCGTATCTGGATGCAGCATGGCTTAACTAAGAGGTGAGGGGGAAGATTGCTTAAATGTGAAGGGACTGCTCTACCTGTGAGGTGGCTTTACAGAAGCCTCCTTGTTTTCATTTTTATGCTTTGAGAAAAACATTGGAGTGTCTCGATTACTGAACAAACACAAGTGTGACTTATGTTTCACAATTCATGCTGTTCTGAATCTTGAAAGTTCTAGCACGTCTCCCACATTTGAAAAAAATTTGCCTAACCTGGAAAGTTAGGCAAAATAAACTCTACCATTATCTGGGAATGGCTACTTGTACTTGCAGTGGGGGCTGTGGTGAATTAAAACTGCAACAATATCCAAGGCAAGGCATTGTTTGCATATAGATCATAAGCTGGGGAGGAAGCAAGACTTATTTATGTAAAATAATAGAGGAAAATTCCAGTTAAGCTCTCTTATTTGACACTCTGCTCCTAAGTGATTTCACATATATATATATATATTTTAAAGATTTACTTGATGTTATTATTATTATTATTTTAAAATTTGCTGTAGGGCACATGTGCTCACCAGAGACACACACATGTGCACACGCACGTGCACACACACACACACGCACATGCACACGGAAATAGAGACAGAGAAAGTGAAAAAGCAAGCCATCAGGCTGGGACTTGAACCATAGTTGGCGATATGGGAGTCCAGTGCCCCAACCACTACTCCACTTGCCAGTCCCAGCAACTTCACACATTTGAAAGGCTCAGGCAGGGATAAAAAAGACCTTTGAGAAGCCATAATTTTCTTTATTAAAGAGCTCATCTGATCCTTATTCAGAGCATGTTTTCATGCAAGCCTAACAAACACAAAAGACTGGAAGCAGCAAATTAGAATAGCAGGCTTGGGAAGATTGGTTACTAGACCAGCCTCATTGCTACTGGATGAAGTGATTCTTGACAGCAAAGACAAGAGAAAATATTGAAATGTGGGCCCACAACCAGCTGGATCTGTTTTCATGAGGAGAAAAAAAAAAAAAAAAAAAGGAAATCCTTAACACTTCTGCTACTTTGCTACTTTGAAAGTTCTAGATGTCTCCTTGGTTCAATTATTATTTTTTAAAAAAATAACTGTATTTATTTATTTATTTATTTAAATTTGACCAGAGAGGGACAGAGAAAGAGTGAGAGCAAGAGAGTGAGGCAGTGAGAAAGCAAGCCGCCAGGTCCAGGACCCGAACCACGGTTGGTCATGTGCAAGTTCAGTGGCCTTAACCACCATGCCACCTGTTGGCCCTAGTTCAATTATTATTAATAATTTAGAATATGCAGGAATAAAATACACATTTTCGAGTCCTTGCTGTGTGCCAAGTCTGAGTAAGTGCTTTATGTTCCCTATCTCATATAGGTGTGTTATAGTTCTGCTCTGTTAACATCTTGGTGAAAGGAAGGCACAGGATAGAAGAAGTAATTTGCCTAAGTAAGCAGTCAAAACAGGTTGTGAACCTTTGCAGTCCAAGTCTAGTGCCATGGCTGTTAGCCTTTGCCCGGTTTCAAGAAACTCTAAGGTTAGGGCCAGCAGGTGGCACAGTGGTTGAGGTACTGGACTCCCACATGGCCCAACAAAGTCTGAGTCTTGGACCAATGGCTTGAAAATCACTCTGGGCACATTTGCCCAAAATCTCCAGAGGAGAAGGGATTGCAAGGTGTGGCCATCCCCCTTGGGGAGTGATTTCTCAGTTTCGTCTCTCTGAATCCCTTTGTCTCTCTCCCTTTCTGAATCCCTGTGTCTCTCTCCTTTCAGGCAAGAGCAAGTGCACGTGCCCTATTACAACAAACACCTAAAATAAAAAAAGGAACCTCTTAGGTTAATAAAGAATAGAAAGACATTCCAGGTAGAGGGAACAACATTTGTAAGCGTAGGGATAGTAAGTTAGGCCAATCAGTCACTCAATTTCTCTTGAATTTTGCTTTACTCACTTATAAAATAAGACCAGTATTATCTGTCATAGGCTGTTTTGAGAATTAAATGTGATAATACATGTGAAGCATGTTGGACAATGCCTGGATCATAAAATGTGCCCAATGTTAATTACTGCTTTTTAAAAAAAATGTTTTTATTTCTCTTTCCGTTCTTTCACGCCTACAGAGCATGTTCCAAGAAGACTACATTTCCCAGCATGCCGCGGCGCCCTCTGACCCTAGTAGACCGAAAAGACGCGCCGCAGAGTGCCTCAGCCGGAAGACTATAGCCTCCCGACATGCAGCGCGCTTCCCCCCGTTAAGTTTGAGGCGCGGCTGGCGCGTTGTCTGCCGGGAGTTGTAGTCGGCGGCGCGTTGCCCTGACGCCGGCCGGGCCGGGCGTGGGGGCCTGTGGGTGGTGGCGTGGCCGGGCCCAGCTGCGGGGCGGAGGCGGAGGAGAGGCCTGAGGCGGCAGGGAGGGGCGGGGGCGGGGGCGGGGGGCCGCGCCCCCGCGCTGC